ACGTTGAAGTGTTTTTATTTAGTTACTTGTAAAATAATATTAATTTACAATTTATGACGCTCTACAGTGTTGTAATACAGGTACATAAACGAAATTCCGTTTTGGGAATTGTGCTCATAGGAACTGGGGTGTAACTGATATTTTCGTAGAGGTCGCTGTGTCACCACGCTTGGACTCTGTCACTGGTAATGAGTAATAGCAATGACTCATCACAAAGCTAAAGATAAGGACGGTCACAATGTCAACCCACGGAGGAATACGTTAATACAGGTACATGAATTCAGTTCCGGCGCCAGCGAGGGGGGGGGGGGGAAGAGAAAATATGCCCTATATCCTATAGCCGCCACTGCATGAATTTATAATATAGGCATATATAGTCACTCGTATTTCTTAGGGGCTTACCACAAGAATTAATGATAAATTGGGGTATAGAATGACCCATGTCCTCACAACATACAAGGACTTTTAAATGTCCTTGCTCACAAGTGACAACTTGATTTGCGGTTTCTTTTATGTACTGTATTTTGTTTTTTCCCGACGTGTGTGTTCGCCTTTGACTTGTTTGTTTTGTTTTGTGTGCTCTCTTTTCTGTTGTAAAGCGCTGTGTCCCTTTTCCTTTGTCACTTTGATTCCAAGACTATTTTGAATATAGCCTTTCTTCCGGGGTGATATTGTATTCGATAATGGTCGTCCTGGGCTAGAACCCGCTACAATGTTTCCACTCTTTGTAAGGTTCATCTTCTCTTTCAATCAATAGATTTCCACCAGAACATTTACTAATTACCAAAAACACATCCAATTACAAATTGAGTTTTTTATGGTTGATATTTTTCCCATGCAGTACTTGAAGTAGGCCTACAGTACAGTACTTGAAGAATGTATTGAAGAACTATGAAATACCGACGGAATCGATTAATCAGAAATGGAAATAGAACCTCCTCCCAAATGAATTGTAATTCTTACTTGGGTTTCAACAATGAAGAGAGTTCATGTGTCATATTCATTGTTCTTAACTTCGAGAAGTCCCGGCTGAAATCGTCAAGTATCATACAGTGGCGGATCCAGGAATTCAAAATAGAGGGAGCCCAGAAAGTAAACTTTACAAATCGAGGGTCCCGTCCAGACCACTTCAGCCTCGCCATGGTGGGGCTGGGTGTCTATCGCACTTCTAGATGACTAGAAATGACGCTCTCGGTCTAAAAGTTGCAATGTAATTTCCTTCACCCTCATCCATTTTTATAATTAGAAATAATAGTGGGAAGGGGCGGATCGGCTCCCCTCCTGAATCCGCCTACAGTTCATTTGGAATAAATGCCTCCCTTGAATAAATGCCCTGGAGCGTTAATATTTTTCCTCGAAACGGCCAACTAATGTCTGTAGGCCTAACAAAACTAATAAAAGCAACATGTCATCCTCAACATATTTTGTTAATATTCTACTCCACTATAGGCCTAATTACATTTTTCTAACCTGGTTGAAGTCTTTATGATCACGCAATAACACATTTTGACGGGAATTACGTTTGTAGTTCCACATTTACGGTGAAATTAAGAGGTGTTTATTTGAGTATATACGTATACATTAAACGCCTGCCCCAAAATAAACAACCCCTCAAAAACACTTCTCAAATATTTTCGAAAAGTTTGTTTGACACGTTTCATAATTATTTACTACAATTAAAAAAATATGTAATTTTCATGAATTTGTATTTTTATCTCTATGTAGGCCTACTTAATTTTAATTTGTCAACTTTATAGGTCTAGCTTAATTCTTGTCTTTACATTTTTTGAGGTCCCAATTGATAATTCCTGCTAGATGGACCACCCGAGCACTACTTTCCAGAAACTATGTTCACTTGTTCACACGGCATACATTACTTTAAATTTTCTTTCCTCATTTAACTGTGTATTTCCATTTTGTCTTGTAATTGTAACTTACTTTTTAAAAAGACATTTGGTGTGCATAGGCCTATTGTAGATTGTTCACATAAAAGGAATGTATGAGACGATAACGATCAACGATAAAAAGCTAAAAAGCAATTGTTCATATAGAAAATAAAAGAAATAAATTTCTCACATTAGCACGATAATCCTCACTACACCCGATGAGGCCAGCATAGACTGCAGGTGAAAGCTTGTTTATTAAATAAGTAATTGAAGTCAGTGTATAAACTGCTACCGATTGTTTGCATTTCTTAGTATTAATAAACATGTTAATTGTTCCAATGTGTGTTATATTATGGAGAAAATATATAGGCCTACTAGGTTTATTTCATTGTATATATTTATTAATAATTTATTATTGTTTTCAGTCTCCTTTTACGGCAATTGATTTAACTTTTCTCAATGTAATAACTTTTATTTATTTTGTTTTGATTTTATCTATTATTGTATTATCATTATCATCGTCACAATTCGTCGCCGTCGTCATCATTTATCTTTTATTAGCATGTGTTTATGTGTTAATAATTTACACAATGAAATTTAAAAATCATAAACAACCAAATGCTATTTATCTCTTTAAACAATGAACCTTCCGCTAAGCCTCGGCCATTGGATGGTTGTTAAGGTCCCACCAAAGATACTAGAAACACAAGATAGAGTTCTCCACAGAAAAAAAGTGTTCCACCGAAATGCATAATGGGAGTACAAACAATGGGGCGCCGCGTACGGCTGGATCTAAAAACTTCTGCCACCGTTACATAAATGTGAATACATAATCTCCTTTTGCAGAGGTTGAAATTGTTGCCATTATCCATAAGATACAAACAAGTGGGCATAAATAAATAAAAAAAAATGACAGGCACAAAAGCATAGAATCGTATGACCGGACACTGATTATTGATAAAGTTTTCCTCCATTAGTGGAAAAAGGAGGGCGCCGTGTGCGTCTGGATATACCTATCAACGTAAGGGCGCCCTATACGTCTGGACCAAGTATAGAAAACTTGCATTATAAAAAGAGAAGGGCGCCGCGTACGTCTGGACCACTTTCCGCCTCACTTTTGCTATGCGAGTGCTCTATCTTGTATTTCTAGTATCTTTAGGTCCCACAATACAAACGACAGTGTAAAAAACATACGAAAACACCGCGTTTTTGACAATACAACGCGTGTGTTTGTAGACGCGCGTATTCCTGGCCTTTTTTGATTGGTCAGTTAGTTTGATTGACACTCTGGACTTTAAATGATGGCTTTTGACATCCTATGACATTTGCAACGCTTTTTGTTTGTTTTTAAGTTTTTGTGTATATTTCTTGTAAGTTTGGTTTACTGAAATATAAATCTAATAGGTACTACTGCCCTAAAAATTAAAATAAATCACTGTTGTGAAAGTAGGATCACCTCTCTCATATAAAATCAACAGGGAGGTGGTATATATAAGATTATATTATCCATGTGGCATATCATATGCCTTTAGTGGGATGAAGTTTTGCCAGCGGTAATAGGACTCCCGACTTTTTAATTGGTTATCGAGATAAATTTTCTTTTCTTAGTTAACAAGAAAATTTGATAAATTACATGTTTAAAGGGCTTAAATCATTTAGAACACAAGGGAACAAAAATACACATCTAAAATTCAATATATATAATCGTATATGACCTACGAATAAAATTCAATATATATAATCGTATATGGCCTACGAATACAGTATACAGTGTATTCCAATCAGGCAGGAGCAACTTTCTATTTCACTCGCAGATTCCTTTTCTTTAACATTGAATGCATTACCGCAAGATGGTTCAGAGTGCATCTCTATTACGCCTATGTTGTAATTTATTATAAAAAAATATCATTTTGATCTGTTATTTGCCAAGTCAAGGACTAGTGCCGTCCAATTACGCATGTGGAAGAGTGTGAGATTTCTTAAACCAAATTTGAATTCCCAACAAAGCCTTAATGACCTAGTTGGTTAATAGGTCCACGGTAGAGCAGGAGGGCCCGACATCAGTGGAATGGCACTACAGTATTTCTCTAATTAATACAGTACTGTATAAATGAACAGACACAAGTTATCATATTCTTAAGTAAAGTTTATTTAATGTCACATCACAGATTAGCAAGTTTCTTGAAAAGAATTTTCAACCAATATGATACAGAATTGAGTGAATGACATAAATAATAATCACTTAATTAATAAATCATGCATTTATATTGTGCAGATTTGGTCCACATTTCAGTTGCAGCTGAAATCAGAAAGTTAGCATGTATCTCAACCAGGTAACCCATCTAATTCCATGTCATGAATATATTAATTACAGAAAATCATGACAAATGACTGTTTGTACCTATCATTTCCAATGAAAATACTTCCATCTTCTAGATGAGTAAAAGAAAATACAGAAATGCAAGGTACTTATCCGAAACTTTCTGCAGACTTCAAAACACCTTAAAAAATGTTATTTCATCCCCATACAAACATTAAGAAAAAACATTCTCCTATGCTGACAAAGGCACAAAACATGTATTTTTTATAAAATTAAACAAAATACATCAGAAAAATTCCTTGCCAACACTTCACAAAAACCCCATACCACTAAACGATTTCCACCTTTAAAACTTCTGTTTAAAAAAGCAGTGAAGTATTTAACAGGTAAATGATAGGTAGGTAAGGTGGCGTACTTCAAATGCCTATACTATTCTATGGTCTACCATAATAATGGTTATGTCAAGGTGTAACAATGTTTTATACTAAAACGACTGTGGAATTACACTAGTTTTATCTGCATATTTTATATAAAAATTATTAAACTTTCCCCACAAATTTCCCATAAAATACACAAAAATGACAAATGTCACTATAGTAATTTTGGTGAGTTACTTCTTTGTATTTAAATGAATGCTGTGTAAAATGGTAATTAAGATGTTGAATTTTTAAAATTGTCAAGAAATAACAATGGACAAAGGTGTAAACCTGATATAACACATCAAATATCATAAAGAGCAACTAAATTAGCTCATCAAATGTTTGCAACTTTAACAAAAATATACATCTTAAAATTATTTTTATACATAAAATATATTTAAGCAAAAATAAAATACTCTTTGGCATAAAAGAAGTTGGTATTGTATTGTATACTGTATACAAATAAAAATTTACAAAAGTGACAGAGAGAGAGAGATGAAGGATGACCAGAGGTCACTCCATGTTCACCAAAAAAAATTAGCAAATAAATAAATAATAGTTTTAGCAATCGTGATATTGACAAAAACGCCATATGACATGCCTATAATTATATAATTATTTTATTGTAGATAATCATTACAAACAAAATACATTTTCAAAGACCATCTGAGTACTAGATAACAGCCTTAGGATTGGGGGCCTGGTGTTTTATATATAGTTACATATGCCTAATTAAAAAGAATATTTTTTCCATATTAACATCATTTATTATTTTTCTTTTTTAAAACTGTTTTGTTCAATTTTTTTTGTGGGGAGGGGGTACTGTGCATGGCCACTTAAGTAATATTTTTTTTGCATTGTTTGTGAAGTATTCTGTATCCTATTACAAGCATAAGGGATCAACTGGTTTGCTAATGACAAATTGCTGCCCAGGTGAGCACGGCAATTTGGCTGATGGCGCATTCTATATCGTAAATGCTTGAATAAGTGCCGCGGCGCATATAACATTAGTAGAGACTTCAGTGTGGTCAGGCGCGTAACAGGGGTCTTAGGTCGGGGGGGGGGCAAAAGCT